AGATGTTCGAACGAGATCTTGTTGCTGCTCGAACTCGACGGGTTGCTGTTGAGGTAGTTGCCCCTGATGAAGAACCGATTGGTGGTGATGATGCCCCACCTGCACCCCCAATACCACCTGTTGTGGCTACTACCCAACGGTCGGAGAAACTCCCAGATCCTGAGGTGTTTAGGGGCGATCGCGATCGAGAAAGACAACATCTATTCAAACAACAAATGAGGATCAAGCTACTGGGAAATGCCGACCGCTTTCCCACACTGCAGTCCAAGTTATCCTATGCCTTCAGTCGATTGGAGGGTGTTGCCGCTAATCAGTTCCTACAGTATGTTGGAGAGGAAGGCATCGCTTTGCCTTCCATGTTACGGTTCTATGAGATCCTAGATACTGCGTTTGGGGACCCTGATCGAATGCGCACGGCTAGGAGAAATCTTAGGAACATCCGCCAACAAAATCGAACCTTTGCCGATTACTTTGCTGAATTTCAACGATATGCTGCCGAGTCAGGAATGGATGAGGTCTCTCGGGTTGAGGCTTTGATGGAAGGAGTTAATGCGGAACTCGATGAATCAATGATACACCATGAAACTCCTGCGACAGTAGATGCCTGCGCGACACTCTTGCAACGGTTGGATAATCGACAACGAGCAGCAGAAGCTAAGCGAGGAAGTAAAAAGCCTTGGAACGCTACTGCCGCCCCGAACCCTCGCCCCCCACCAGCGAATCCGGCCCCTACCCCACGTGCTGCCGCCCCGGCTATCAACGTACCCACTCCTGAGAACCATCCCTCATTCCGCCCGGGAGGTGATGTACCGATGGATTTGTCCGGGGGACGTCGTCGCCCCACCCTTACTGAGAGAAATGCCCGCTTAGCTGAGGGCCGATGTTTCTATTGCGGAGGAGTCGGACATATGGTTAGAGATTGCCCCCAAGCAAGGGGAGCTGGAAATCAACCAAGAAAACCGGTGATGAGAGGAGTAGTATTGAGAATGGAGGAGAATGATGGAAGCGATAACGAGTCGGCAAAAGATTTGTCCCTGCACTAAGTGGCTTAGCCCAGGGACCATTTAAGGATTTTTCTGAATTGCATATTTCTGGTTTTTCGGTATCAGAGGAGGAAATGGATGGGAACTAATTTGTAGTAACTTGTTCGATCTCACAGAATAAAAATACTTTCGTACCCACCTACGCCCTTATTGATACCGGAGCATCAGGATATGCTTTCATTGATGAATCTTTTGCACGCCACAACAACCTCACCATGATCCCTCTCAAAATACCGCGCCATGTAGACGTTATAGACGGCAGACCGATCAAGTCATATTGTCGAAGTTTCACTAGACATCCATGGCCACCGAGAGACTGCGTCATGTTTTGTAACAAAGCTGGGACATTATCCGATTGTGATGGGAATACCTTGGATGTGACGCCACGACATCACGATTCGACCAAAGGAAAATTTGCTTATTTTCGATTCTCAAAGCTGCCGTCAACATTGTTCGCTTAGTGGAACTACAGTTACGGTTCATGGCATATCAATTCCCCTACCGGAAACCCACACCGTTACCATTTTGGCGACTGAAAAAACTACCATTGATGTGGAACAACTGATACCAAGAGAGTTCCATCACTATATCCATATGTTTGAAGAATATGATGCTTCTGTACTTTCGCCACATCGACCATTCCATGATATGAAGATAATATTAGAAGAAGGCAAGCAACCACCATGGGGACCGATATATGCCCTATCCCAAGTTGAGTTGAAGGCACTCTGGGATTACCTTCAGGAGAACCTACCTAAGGGAATTATCCGCCATAGCGAGTCGCCAGCAGGAGCGCCTATATTATTTGTCAAGAAAGCCGATGGGACTCTTCGTTTATGTGTTGACTATCGAGGCCTCAAAGCAATCACGATTAAGAATCGTTATCCATTACCGCTACTGAAGGAAACCTTAGCCAAACTGTCGAGAGCAAAATATTATACTAAGTTGGATTTACGTTGGGGGTATAACCAGATCAAAATAGCGGAAGGAGATGAATGGAAAACGGCGTTCCGGACTCGATATGGACACTTTGAATATACGGTAATGCCTTTTGGACTAGCGAACGCTCCAGCTACTTTCCAACATTGGATCAATGATATCCTACGCCCCTATCTAGACCAATTCGTAACGGCCTATTTAGATGATATTCTCATCTATTCTGAAACCCTTGCAGAGCATAAAGATCACATTCAAAAGGTTCTAAAGGTACTCGATGAGAATCATGTCCATCTCAAACCCGAAAAATGCGAATTTATGGTTCAAGAAACGAAGTATCTCGGCCTAATCCTCACCCCAAACGGCAACAGAATGGATCCAAAGAAAGTTATTGATGTTCTAGAATGGTCGACACCGACAAACCTTCATGATGTTCAAGTATTTTTGGGGTTTGCAAATTTTTATCGACGGTTTATTTTGGGATATTCAAAGATTGTCACCCCGCTTACAGCCCTAACAAAGAAAAATGTTAAATTCGAATGGACGGATGAAAGGGAGGAAGCATTTCAAACCCTAAAAAAGATGTTCACAACAGCACCTATACTAGTTCATTTCGACCCAGATCGAAAAATTGTGGTGGAAACCGACGCATCCGACTATGTTTCAGCAGGAATCCTATCACAACGTGATGATGAAGGAGTTTTACATCCAGTCGCTTTCTTTTCTAAGAAACATTCCCCTGCGGAATGTAACTATGAAATCTATGATAAAGAACTTCTAGCGATTGTTCGATGTTTTGAAGAATGGCGACATCATCTAGAAGGAGCACAATTCCCCTTTGAGGTTTTTAGCGATCATCGAAATCTGGAATATTTCATGACGACAAAATTATTAAATCGTCGACAAGCCCGTTGGTCCGAATTTCTTTCACGCTTTGATTTCGTTATACAATTTCGACCGGGAAAACAAGGAGCAAAACCCGATGCATTAACTAGAAGGTCAGGTGACCTACCTAAAGAGGGGGATGAAAGGTTGACGCATCAGAGTCAAGTGGTTCTGAAGCGAAAAAATTTGGATACAAAGCTAAGTTTGTTCGCGGGTTCTTTATCAAATGAATCCGCTGAAGGAATGTCCACTGTGGAGGAGTTGTTTTCAAAAGCTTACCAAGTTGATAGTTTCCCAAACGAGATTCTCGTTATTCTTCGGAGCGACGTTCGACATTCAAACTAGATTTCACTTGCTGAATGTACTGAAGACAATAACGGTCGGCTACTTTATCGAGGCGCACTCTACGTACCAAATGACAATAACCTCCGGCTGAGACTTCTAAAAGAACATCATGATAAGTTATCGGCAGGCCATCCAGGCAGGGCGAAGACTTTGGAACTCCTAAGCCGGGAGTACTATTGGCCACAAATGCGGAAGTATGTCGACCGGTATGTTAGAAATTGCAATGTGTGTGTCCGTAGCAAGGCACCACGCAATTTGCCTTATGGAGTACTTCGTCCAATGCCAATACCTGATGGACCATGGACGGATGTTTGGATGGATTTTGTCACTGACCTTCCTGAGAGCGATGGATATAATGCGATCCTAGTTGTTGTTGATAGACTAACCAAAATGCGACATCTGGTACCAACGACTAAAGAGGTGGATTCGAAGGAAGTAGCGAGGCTGTATATCGATAATGTCTGGAAGCTACATGGACTACCTGATACCGTCGTGTCCGATAGGGGAACCCAATTTGTTGCGGAATTTTGGAAGTCACTTTGCAAACGCCTGGAAATATCCCCACGATTCTCCACTGCTTTCCATCCTCAGACTGATGGACAAACTGAAAGGATCAATGCCGTAATGGAACAGTATCTTCGAACTTATGTTTCTTATCAACAAGATGATTGGATCCGACTTTGGCAATGGCTGAGTTCGCAGCAAATAATTATGTGTCGGAAACAACAAAGGTCTCTCCTTTCTATGCCAATTTGGGAAGGAATCCACGGATGACTTTTGGCCCCTTGGAACATGGCAAAATGACAGCGGAAGATCAGGCCAATAGCATTGCAAAAGAAATGAAGGATATGGTGGAATTCCTGAGGAGCGAAATGTTTCGGTCACAAAAGGTACAAGAGGAATCAGCCAATCTAAACCGTTCTCCCACCCCTCGTTATCGTATCGGAGATAAAGTTTTCTTATCGACGCGCCATGTTTTGACAAAACGACCCTCCAAGAAACTCGACTGGAAACGGATTTGCCCTTATAGTATCAAACGAATCGTCAATTCCTATGCTTACGAGCTAGAACTTCCCCGCTCTATGAATATCCATCCAGTATTCCATGTTTCGCTATTGTCACCTGAAGCAGGTAACCCGTTACCTGGACAGAAGCAATCACCACCACCTCCGGTTGAGATCGAAGGAGAAAAAGAATGGGAAGTCGAGGATATTTTGGATTCTAGGAAGCGAAGAGGGAAATTTGAGTACTTGGTACAATATAAAGGATACGACGATGCCTCCTGGCAACCGCTATCGGACCTCGAGCATTCGCCTGATATCGTTTAACGATTCCATGAACGTTATCCACGAAAGCCTAAGCCTACCAGGAGGTAGGCCTTAGAGGGGGGCGTGGTCTGTAACGGCAATATTGTATCTCGACTAAGACAATAGATTGGGTCGTGTGGAGGAGCGGTTGCGCAATTGAACGAGGATTTGTAATGAGGTTTCTGTTAGGTTCTTTCGGTTTCCGTTACGCGAGGTATTAGTCATCAACGGACTAGGAGTTGGATATATAAAGGGGCGTTGTCTCGTGTCTTTTCATGTTTCTCTTCCTTTCCTTTTCTCTTCACGGAACCTCCTGTATTTACTCTACGAATACTACTATTGTCCTACGTCTCGTCATAGGGTTCAACTGGGTTGTCACGCCAGGTAGAGCCGCCCCATAGTCCATAGTCTCGGATACCTATTGCTACGTCTTCGCCTTGATTGTATTCCTTGGCACTATAGTCCCTACGTCCATAGACCTCCGTTACAGGCACTCAGTTAAGCGGGCATTTCTTTCGGTAGGGGTGGGGCGACGACGTACCCCTGACAGATCCATCGGTACATCACCTCCCGGGCGGAACGAGGGATGGTTGTCAGGGACAGGTGCATTGACAGCTGGGGCGGCAGTGCGAGGAATAGGGGCAGGATTCCCCGGTGGGGGGCGAGGGGTCGGAGCAGCAGTAGCATTCCAAGGCTTTTTATTTCCTCGCTTAGCCTCTCCCGTTCGTCGTCGATTATCTAACCGCTGCAAGACTGTCGCACATGCATCTACCATCGTAGGAGTTTCATGGTGTATCATTGATTCATCGAGTTCCGCGTTAATGCCTTCCATCAAAGCCTCAATCCTAGAGACTTCATCCATCCCTGACTCGGCAGCATACCGTTGAAATTCGGCAAAGTAATCAGCAAAGGTTCGGTTTCGTTGACGGATGTTCCTAAGATTCCTCCTAGCCGTACGCATTCGATCAGGGTCCCCAAAAGCAGTATCCAAGATTTCATAAAACCGTAACATGGACGGCAAAGCGATGCCTTCTTCTCCAACATATTGTAAGAACTGATTGGCGGCAACACCCTTCAATCGGCTGAATGCATTGGATAACTTAGACTGTAGTGTGGGGAAGCGGTCGGCATTTCCCAATAGCTTGATCCTCATCTGTTGCTTGAATAGGTGTAGTCTTTCCCGATCGCGATCTCCCCTAAATACTTCAGGATCTGGGAGTTTTTCCGACCGTTGGGTAACCACTGGGACAGGTGGAACTGGAGGTACCGGTGGGGCATTATACTCTCCGATTGGTTCTTCATCAGGGGCAACCACTTCAACAGCAACTCGGTGGCCTCTGGCAGCGGCTAGATCTCGTTCAAACATTTCCCTCGCATTTCCAGCCTCCCTCTCCACCTCCTACAAGTCCGTTGCATACTGAGCAAGGCCATGTTGTGCCCGTTGAAGAAGTGCATAGGCTTCTATTCCAACATTGCCATCCACCTCTGGGTGTTCTTGAAAAAAGGTTTGAAGGGCATCGCTTAGCTGTTGGTAATCAATAGGAAGATGTGTCGCCATGGTAGACTATGGTGTTGTATTGGTTGGCAATAGAGGACGGAACTTGGTGTCACGGGGGTCTATGGACGTAGGGACTATGATGCCAAGGAATACAACCGAGGCGAAGACGTAGCAATAGGTATTCGAGACTGTGGACTATGGAGTGGCTCTGCCTAGTATGACTAACTAGTTGAGCCCTATGACGAGACGTAGAACAAAGTAGTATTCGTGGAGTAAGTACAAGAAGTTCCGTGAAGAGAAAAGGAAAGGAAGGAAAACATGAAAAGGCACTAGACAACACCCCCTTATATATCCAACTCCTAGTCCATTGATGACTAATGTCTTGCGTCGCGGAAACCGAAAGAACATAACAGAAAACCCATTACAAATCATAGTTCAACTGCGCAATACCTTCTCTTCACAACCCAATCTATCACCTTAGCCGAAATATAGTATTGCCGTTACAGAGACTCATGAATATGTACAATCTTGCTGATGAATTATCTTCCTCCAACGATACCCAAGTTTGCAATCCCAATGCCCGAAAAACAATGAAAGGCTCTTTCACCTCCGCTGTTCATGGGGTCTATACGCAGTAGTATCAACCCACAGCGATATCATTCTTATTGACGCCTTTGACATAAAACCGAAGGAAAAGTATATCATTTTCTTTGATCATAGTCCTTTGTTTTCCCTGCAATGATCCCTTCCGCCACAAAAGCTACCAACTGAGTGTAAAACTCTATATCCATGGAAGAATTTTCTGGACATTCAGCGTTAGCGGGTTGATCATCGCCGTTGTCGGATGGAGATTGTAATGCAGTGTCGTCGGATTGAGATTGCAATACGGTGTCGTCGGATGGAGATTGTAACACAGTATCGTAATCGGATTGGGAAGGCAACGCAGCATAGTTAGATTTGGCCTTCCAAAGTTAGTTGAAGGTTTTATAATAATAGCATTTACCCAATCACAATTTCATCTTTGACTTCATAGAGTAGTACTTATTCCGCAAGCCTTCTTGTGTTCTGTGGACCCCCGTTCTCACAGTGTATTCTTCTTGAATTTTGTCTCATTTCTTCGGGCCAAACTTTTTTCATAGGTCGGATAGTAATTGGATCTCTCTTTCAGAATAGATATTTTTTTTCATGGCGGGCACTGTTCATGATCAAATCGTTCGGTTTCCGGCACGCCATTTTAATACTTTCTTGAAGAAGTCTTTGTGATTATAACCGCCTATGTTTCATGTAAAGCATGGATTTTAACAGCTGCGAAAAGCCTCAAGCCAAGAATTGATTTGACTACGTACATACTAGTAGTGACCCACCTCCCATAAGGGTACTAGTTTCTAGATAACAGTGATACATCCGGATGGGTAGCGAGGAAGGACATCTACATTTACAAAGAATGGCCTTATCAGGCATGTGTAGAATCTGGCCTGTAAGGGTAACACATCTGCCCCCTTCTTGCATGATAGGTAGCGAAGAGGGGCATCTACAATCACAAAGGATAGCTTTATCAGACATGCGTACAATCTGGCCTGCAATGGTAACACATCCGCCCCCTTCTTGCGTCATAGGTAGCGAGGGGGGGCATCTACAATCACAAAGGATAGTCTTATCAGGCATGTGTATTCAGCGAGCGGTGATCTGTCAATAGGGTTCACGGACGCGCCAGTAGATAAACCCAGGATCGCGATGGGAATCCCGGTAGCCCATACCTGAGTGTGGCTATTTGTGCCATTGGAGCCTTGAACCCAGATCATCCGATTGGCGAATATGGGGGCAGGAGAGTTCAGTGATCGACATCAACCATCCAGCGCGTATGTATCGGGGACAGTCTTTCCACATATCGCTAGAATCTGATAGAAAGATGTGACCGTGCAAGATAGAAATCAGGTTTAGACTATTCAAAGATTCTTTTGCTCAAAACTCAATGATCTTTAAGGGCTCTGCTACCGACTGGAATGCTTGATAACCCTATGAAGACTGAGGATGTTGAATTAGTTGGGCCGAGAGGATCCCGAGTACTTATACTCCAAAGGATTCCGTTCCCCTGCCTCTACTTCCTTACTAAGTTCCAGTGATGCCTTCTAGCGGACGGGAAGCAACACCAAACGCTACCCCGCTTCATTCAAAGCGTTAGTGGGTGCTTCCGATTCCGAAGGCAACTACCCTTAGTCAAAGCCTTTGTAACACCTGCAGCCTTGCTTGTCGCACAACCGGGACTTGCATCAATGAGCTGCCGCTCAGGTCCAAGCTTAATTGTTGCTGTAGAGCTCTTCACTTATTGTAGACTTCCCAGGCATAGTCCCTTCCACTACCAGCGGACTTCCACTGCTCAGAGAATTTAGAGGATCGCCGAGCACTCAGAGCTTCACTCTGGCTGGCCTTCTAATTATTGGCGAGGCACAGACTCATCAGTCATTGCTCCTATGAGTAAATCCTCTTCCCAGCGCTCAGAATGTAGTTACTCTGACAGCTGGTAGCTAACCACACTGCCGGTACTTGCATGTCTCTGTGCAACTGGCTTCTAACAATAACTCTCAGCATGTAACCGGGCCATGTGTGTACTCATACACCAGACAGTTGAAATGGCTCCATTACACATATGTGGTTGCCAAAACTCGTTTAGCACGGTTGATATTTAACACAATGGGTACAATTATTGATTTATTTAACAACAAAAAATCGAACTGAATACATCCATCTCCATATGTTGTCATGACCAACAATAGCTATGACTGCCTTTCCGGTTAAAGCTTCCTTAAACTCCTACTCCGCTTGGTCATCCTGGATGTGCTAATGCACTAAGAGTTAGCAACCTGAAGCTAAATATTGTAAATAAACTTGAATCATGATCATAGTGGGGTGAATTATTCACCGGAAGCGTGGCGCCCTTTATATTACCAATGCAAAAGCTAACTAGACGCGCATATACTTGGGACTTGAAAGGTACTGAATATTACCAAAGCTATGATTGTCTTTTTCTCCTCCGAAACGTCTCTTTCTAGATTTAGGTGACTGAGGTTATTCTGTAACGGGGATCTATGGACGTAGGGACTATAGTGCCAAGGAATACAACCGAGGCGAAGACGTAGCAATAGGTATCCGAGACTATGGACTATGGGGCGGCTCTACCTGGTTTGACAACCCAGTTGAACCCTATAACGAGACGTAGAACAATAGTAGTATTCGTAGAGTAAATACAGGAGGTTCCGTGAAGAGAAAAGGAAAGGAAGAGAAACATGAAAAGACACTAGACAACGCCCCTTTATATATCCAACTCCTAGTCCGTTGATGACTAATACCTCGCGTAACGGAAACCGAAAGAACATAACAGAAACCTCATTACAAATCCTCGTTCAATTGCGCAACCGCTCCTCCACACGACCCAATCTATCGTCTTAGTCGAGACACAATATTGCCGTTACAGACCACGCCCCCCTCTAAGGCCTACCTCCTGGTAGGCTTAGGCTTTCGTGGATAACGTTCATGGAATCGTTGAACAATATCAGGTGAATGCTCGAGGTCCGATAGCGGTTGCCAGGAGGCATCGTCGTATCCTTTGTATTGTACCAAGTACTCAAATTTCCCTCTTCGCTTCCTAGAATCCAAAATATCCTCGACTTCCCATTCTTTTTCTCCTTCGATCTCAACCGGAGGTGGTGGTGATTGCTTCTGTCCAGGTAACGGGTTACCTGCTTCAGGTGACAATAGCGAAACATGGAATACTGGATGGATATTCATAGAGCGGGGAAGTTCTAGCTCGTAAGCATAGGAATTGACGATTCGTTTGATACTATAAGGGCAAATCCGTTTCCAGTCGAGTTTCTTGGAGGGTCGTTTTGTCAAAACATGGCGCGTCGATAAGAAAACTTTATCTCCGATACGATAACGAGGGGTGGGAGAACGGTTTAGATTGGCTGATTCCTCTTGTACCTTTTGTGACCGAAACATTTCGCTCCTCAGGAATTCCACCATATCCTTCATTTCTTTTGCAATGCTATTGGCCTGATCTTCCGCTGTCATTTTGCCATGTTCCAAGGGGCCAAAAGTCATCCGTGGATTCCTTCCCAAATTGGCATAGAAAGGAGAGACCTTTGTTGTTTCCGACACATAATTATTTGCTGCGAACTCAGCCATTGCCAAAGTCGGATCCAATCATCTTGTTGATAAGAAACATAAGTTCGAAGATACTGTTCCATTACGGCATTGATCCTTTCAGTTTGTCCATCAGTCTGAGGATGGAAAGCAGTGGAGAATCGTGGGGATATTTCCAGGCGTTTGCAAAGTGACTTCCAAAATTCCGCAACAAATTGGGTTCCCCTATCGGACACGACGGTATCAGGTAGTCCATGTAGCTTCCAGACATTATCGATATACAGCCTCGCTACTTCCTTCGAATCCACCTCTTTAGTCGTTGGTACCAGATGTCGCATTTTGGTTAGTCTATCAACAACAACTAGGATCGCATTATATCCATCGCTCTCAGGAAGGTCAGTGACAAAATCCATCCAAACATCCGTCCATGGTCCATCAGGTATTGGCATTGGACGAAGTACTCCATAAGGCAAATTGCGTGGTGCCTTGCTACGGACACACACATTGCAATTTCTAACATACCGGTCGACATACTTCCGCATTTGTGGCCAATAGTACTCCCGGCTTAGGAGTTCCAAAGTCTTCGCCCTGCCTGGATGGCCTGCCGATAACTTATCATGATGTTCTTTTAGAAGTCTCAGCCGGAGGTTATTGTCATTTGGTACGTAGAGTGCGCCTCGATAAAGTAGCCGACCGTTATTGTCTTCAGTACATTCAGCAAGTGAAAT